TTCCTACTGTATTTCTTTCTTTTTTTTTTTTTTTAAGAATTTTATTTACTTGTATTTATTTATTTATTTTTTAAATTTGACCAGAGAGAGACAGAGAGAGAGAAGAAAGGTAAGAAAGCAAGCGCCAGGTCTGGGACTCGAACTGCAATCAGCCACATGGGAGTCTGGTGCCCCTAACCATACCACGTGCCAGCCCCGCTCCTGTACTTCTCATCTGGGTAACAGGATCTGTGAATAGAAGACCCATGCAAAGATCCTGAGTCTTCCTAGATGTTTCTCTAACCAGTCCCACACAAGCTTTACCCAGAACAACTTACTGTTTCTCTGTTACTCTGTATTTCACCTATCTTGGTGCTTTGTTCATGCTTCTCTCTCTACCTAGAATTTCCCCCAAACTAGAGAAGTAAACATCTATGTATTTTTCCAAGACTCTATTAAGAAAATAAATAAAAAGAAAAACAAGAGACCCACTTTCCTAAATATGTCTCTTCAACCTAGCAAATTCAGCCATTTCTTTTAAAATTCACTCCAGCATTTCCTATTGGGTTGTTAGTAAAGTCATGACACATTTTTACGTAGAAAAGAATATGTCACAATTTTTATAACAACCCAATAGATGGTCCTTCAATGATTTATTTTTCCAAATAAGTACAAAAACAACTTCTATGTATTATTATCATCTATAAAAGTAACACTTTATATAAAAATAATTTATAAGAAAATACTATATTCAAAGACAGCTGTTCTTTAGAAGGTTAGCAACCTTACATCCGCTGTACATAGACATACTACATCAGTCCTTGCTTCACTGAAGAGCAATGAAAATGCTATAGCATCCTAACACATCTCTCATTAACACCTTTAATACTTCATTCTTCCCCTTTATATGCATAGCTGCCTATGTTCACTAGTTGATAAATTCCTTATAAGTAAAATTTATAATTTTTTTTTAAAAATTTTTTCATATAGAGCATGTTTGCTCACCAGAGAGACAGATAAAGCAAAAAAGCATCTCCCCACCACAGGAGGATGGCCATGCTATAATCCCTTCTCCTCCATTCTAATGCCCAAGGTGTTCAAGTCGCTGGGTCAAGTTGCTTGAACCACACAATTGGCCATATGGGCTCCAGTCACCTTCACCAACATGCTGCCAGGTGACCCCATACAAATTTTGTTAAGTTTATTGATTTAGTCCATGAGAGGGGAGAATGGAGAGAGAGAGGATAACGGGATGAGAGAGAGAGATACAGCATCCTCAATAGGGTACTGATGCTGTGATCCACCTCTCAGCAGCGGCGGATCCAGGCCACGAGCAGGTCTGCCTGGTATGCTCAGGGAAGCCTCCTGCAAATCTCCCCATGTGGGTCTGCCCCACAAAGTGTCACATTTCACCAAAGTGCCACCATCCAGCCCCTGTAAATGTTTATTCTTTGTATCTGCAATATACAGTTTAGACACTGGAACAAAACCTGTACTCAACAAATGGCTTGTTAAAATAAAGAGAAAGCAACAGAAAAAGAAAATAAAAGAACAAAAAAGGAGGTACAGAATAAGAAAAATAAATCTTTAAAGAAAAGTAACCACCAACTTGTAATTGAAGCTGAAGATGGATTAGTGATCTCTAAGCCAAAAGGATTCTTGACTTGTTTCATTTGTTTTTTGAAAACTCTTGTGCTGAACTGGGTCTCTTCTGAATTTCTCAGAATTACCGGAACATCCCAACCAAACCTAAAAAAAGGTAAAAGATAAAACATAATATGAACAAATGCTAATGTTTTACATTATATGTAAAAAATGTTGTGTTGCAATAGCTATTTCTTTTAGCGTAGTGTCAGAAAGAGATTAAATTAATCAATGTACACTTTTTGCAGAAATCATCTAGAATGAAGAGATATTAGAAGTCCCACAGAACTTTAATATATTGCTCAGTTGGCTGAATCAACATAGTCTTGAAAATGAAGAATTCAGTTTTTAATAACACAGGAGTACAGTAATTATTGATAAATTAATATAAAAGCAAAAACATGATAGAATAATTTGATTCTTTAAAATATGAAAAACGGGCCAGTAGGTGGCATGGAAGTCAAGGCCTCTGCATCCCACATGACTTTGTAGTTTGAGTCCCAGACCCCAGGGTGGCTTAGAAAACAAGCTGGGTGCACGTGAGCCCAAAATTCCAAGAGGAGAATGGGGGAGAAGGGATTCCAGAGTGGCCATCCCCCCAGTTGGTGTTTCTACCTTTCTCTCTCTCCACCCCCCCCCTTCTTTTGTCACTCTCTGGTGAATGTTCACACCCTACAGCAAAATTAAAATGAAATAAAATATGAAAAATAAATATATATTCAATATGCAGACTATTCAATATGATGCATGAGATTAGAGAACTTCTGGTTTTTAGAGATTTTTGTTATAGGGCACATGTGGTTGCCAGAGAGAGAGAAAGCAAGCAAGAAATCACTCCTCAGGGGGATGGCCACTCTACAATCCCTTCTCTTCCATTCTCTTGTGGGATTTTGGGCGCGCATACACATGTACCTGGCATGAGTTTCAAGCTGCCAGGTTTGGGACTCGAACAGTGGATTGCTACATGGGAATCCAGTGTCTTTAACTACCCACCTGCTGGCCCCAAGAGATTAGAGAACTTTTTTTTTTTTTTTTTAAGAGAGATTTTTGCTATAGGGTGGGTGTGCTTGTCAGAGAAACAGAGAGAAAGTGAGAAATCACCCCTTGGGGGGATGGCCATCTGCAATCCCTTCTCTTCCATTCTCCTCTGGGGATCTTGGGCACTCATGCACATGCACCTGGCATGAATGTAAGCCGCAGTTCGGGACTCGAATCACAGTTGGAGAGTCCAGCTACATAACCATTACGCCACTTGCTAAAAGTCCCTAGAAAACTTTTAAAATTCCAAAGATGGCTCTTCGTTTCCATGATATATTTTTTATTTTTAATTTCATGTAAAAATGTAAGTTCTGGCAATGCACACTGTATAGACTCAAAAGGAAAATAAAAGGGAGTTAACTCAGTTCCTAGTAAAATTGAAAACCAGGTTCAGCTGCCATGGCACAATGGTAATGCTAGTGCCTGGCAGTGCTAGAAGACATACGGAAATCCTGGGCAAGCCTGCAATGCAGGGCCAGGAGGGACACCTAGGATGCTGTGGAGCTGGAGGGCTAGGAACACAGTGTCACAACATGGCAACACTCTGTTGAGTGTGCTTTATTTTTCTTGTTTCTCTCCCCCCCCCCCCCCCGCCATCTCTCACATGTGTGCATACTCACTTTCCATCATTACAAAGAAAGTAAAAATTAAAACCAGCTAAGTTTATCCAAGTGAAATAAAATTACTTAAAATGAAATACGATCTAAAATACATGACTAGATCTAATGCTGAGAGAAAAATCAATAAAATTAACTAGGATATTCCACTTCAAGAAGGCATGGTTAGGTCCACACTTTGATGAGCTCCCTTCTCTCCAAACACATAGCAGAAAATAAAAAGAAATCAGAACGACCCAGCTGAAATGAGTAAATAAACTCTGACATATTTAAACAAAGGGATAGAGTACTTGGTGCTGAAAAGGAACAACATATTGCTATAACCACATGGATAAATTTCAAAAGCATCATGCTGTGCAAAGAAGCCTTAGACAAAAGGGTATATGCCGTAAGACTGACTAACATAAAATCTTAGATCAGGCAAAACTAATCTACGGTAGAAATAAAGTGGAAATAAAAACCCAGACTACCAGTTAAAGAAGCGGGATTGCACATGATTGACCAAGGTTTGAATCTCAGCCCCAGTGGCCTGAAAGCCACTCCAGGCACACGTACATGCATGCCACAAATCCCAAGAGGATGTAGAACTGGAGGAGAAGGGATTGTGGTGTGATCATGCCCTATAGTAGTGGTGGAGGTAGGGGCTTTCTTTCTCTCTCTCCTTCTCTCTGGCAAGTACCCATGCCCCCTAGCAATTAAGGAAGAAAGCAAGGAGGGAGAGTGAGAGAAAGAAAAGAAAACAGAAAAGAAAAGAAAAGAAAAGAAAAGAAAAGAAAAGAAAAGAAAAGAAAAGAAAAGAAAAGAAAAGAGAAGAGAAGAGCAGTTGCTCCTGGGAGTGCAGGAGTAGAGACAGACTGGCATGCAGAAACTTTCTGTGATTCAGCATCCCCAATCTGAAAATCCAAATTGTTTCAAAATCTATGACTTTTTGAGCACCAACATGATGCCACAATTCCACATCTGACCTCATATCATGAGTCACCATCAAAATGCTGCAATACAAAAATTGTATAACATTACCTTCAGGCTATGTGTACAAGGTGTATATAAAACATAAATGAATTTTATGTTTAGACTTGAGTCCCATCCCCAAGTTATCTCATTATGTATATGCAAATATTCCAAAATCCAAAAAATCTCTTAAATCCAAAACACTTCTGGTCCCAAGCATTTCAGATAAAATATGCTCAATCTGTAATAATGTTTATATCTTGATAGAAGTTAAGTTGAATACATTATGTGTCTGTTACATTTTATTGTATGTAATTACTTTAAAAGAAAAATAATTCTAAGCAAAACAAACATTGAACTCTAGCTAATACTACTCAATGCTTTAGTACTTATGCATAATCTTACTTTGAAGTACATCACAAAATAAGATGCACTGCTGAGTGGAAGAAAGGATAAATGAATGGACAAATTAAGAATTTAGAGTAAAATGTCAACAGAATCTAAGTGATGGACATTTTCACTGTATAATTCTTTCCAGTAATCTGTGTGTTTATAAATCTATATAAAATGTTGGGGAAAAAGAGACATAACTGAGTTTAAAGTCAAATCCCTTTATGGATCTGAAAAGAGAAAAAAAAATGTAGTAAGTAAGACTGATGTCATGGTTTGAAAGGCTCTGAGTAGCATGCAGTATCAACTAAGCCTTCATGTAGTAAAGAGGCCAGTACAGGTTGTCCACTCAAGACAAGGGCCGTAGTCAGATTCACAACTTGAAACCAGGAGTGAATTAGGCCAATAAGAATGTAGGACAGAACAGTCATAAGACCTGGCCCTGAAAAGGGGTCTAGGAATCTGGGCGTAGGCAATTACAAAATGGCTAAGCAATGAGAGTAAGGATAAAGGGAGAAAAAGAACAAAACAAACTTCCACTAAAGCTTGAGTTGTGAAATAAAATACATGCATAGATCTAGTGCTGAGAGAAAAATCAATAAATTAACAAATGGATAAAAATTCACTGTAGATGAATCTTATAGTACAGTTTATAAAGCTGCTCTGCCTAAGAAGGCTGAAAAGCAAGGCTCTAACAGATGAAACTGTTTCCAAATATCTTAACTATGACCCAGAACAAAACTCAAGAATATAGGAATATAAAAACACCCGGCAACCAATAAGGTAAAATGTTTAGCATCCAATAAAAAAATTAATAGGCATGAAACAAGGAGGAAAATATTACCCATAATGAAGTGAGAAATTAATCTATATAGACCTAGAAATGATATAGACACTAGAATTAGTAGACAAAGACATCAAAATAGTAGTTAAAATTATATTCCATGTGTTCAAGAATGTAAGTAAAGACTGAGAATATTATATAAACATGGAAGATATAAAAAAGGCCTGGAAGATATAAAAAAGTCCTGAATCAATTTCTATGAAAAACATAATGTTTGGGGAACCAGCAGTTAGCGTAATGGCTATGTCGCTGGACTCCCACGTAGTCGACTGCGGTTCGCGTCTCGGACCCGGTGGCTTAAATCTCACGCCAGGCGCGTGTGCATGCGTGCCCAAGATCCCGAGAGGAGAATGAAGGAGAAGGGATTGCGGCGTGACCATCCCCCCTGGGGGGTGATTTCTCGCTTTCTGTCTCTATGTCTCTGTCTGTCTGGCGAGCGCACGCGCCCTATAGCGAAAAAAAAAAAAAAAACCTCTCCAAAAAAAAACAAACATAATGTTTGAAATTTAAAAATATGCTGGATGTAATTAACAGCAGATTAGACCCTGAAGAACAGATTAGTGAACTTGAAGACAATGCAATAGAGAGTGCCCAAAATAAGACAGAGAAAAAGACTGTACAAAAATAAACAAAACATGGGAACCAGCAGTTAGCGTAATGGCTATGTCGCTGGATTCCCACGTAGTCCACTGCAGTTCATGTCCCAGACCCGGTGGCTTAAAACTCATGCTGGGCGCGTGTGCGTGCGTGCCCAACCAAGATCCCTAGAGGAGAATGGAGGAGAAGTGATTGCCGCGTGACCATCCCCTCTGGGGGTGATTTCTTGCTTTCTGTCTCTATGTCTGTCTCTGTCGTCTGGCGAGCGCACGCGCCCTATAGCAAAAACCTCTCCATAAAAACCCCAAAAACATAAAAAAACAAACAAACAAAAAAACCAATTAGCCAAGGGACAATTGCAAACAGTCTAGCTTACATATAACTGAAGTTAGTAGAAGAGGGGTAGAGAACTGAGCATTTGAATACATAATGGCTAAAAAGTCCCAAATTGGCTTGAAACTTATAAAGTCACAGATTCGAGAATCTCAATGAACCTAAGCACAACAAAGAAAATTACATTATGCTATGTAATAATCAAATTACCTAAAACTAGTAATAAAGAGAAAGCCTTAAAAACAAAGAAAAAAGATACATTACATACAGAGAAACAAAGATAAGACTGAGAGTGCTTTCTTATCAGAAATAATGAAAGAATATCTTTAAAGAACTAAAAGGAAAAAAATACTATCGATCTAAAAATCTATACCTATATTTTTCAGGGGTGAAAGCAAAATAAAGACTTTTTCCAATGTAACTCTCTTTCTTTCTCAATTTCTCTCTTCCTCTCACGTGTGTGTATACATGGCTCTATAAAATGAAAAAAACTGAAAGATAAAAACAAAAAAACCTCTCGTTTCTTTTCTGTGTTCCCATAACTGAGATGCTGGTCCTTGTAGTCCTCATTACTGCCATTAGCAGTCAAGTGCTTTAGTCACTTGGTTCCCCAGGACACCTGCTTTAGGAATAATTTTATCCCAATAAAAGAAACGTAGTAATCTGATTAACGGTGATGCCGCTACATGCCACATTACTAGAATCTCATTTCCCCTTTGCAAGGAGCTAAAGAAATAACCAAACCAATACCTCAACCCTATTTTTAAGGTTCTCCTCTCCCCAGGATCCCATTCTTAGTAACAATTTATCAGCCAGGGTCCGGTCAAGAAACAGAAACCATATCAGTTATTTTAACAAGGAAATTTTAATATAAATAAATTTATAAACACACACACACACACATGTATTAAGCAGTTGTTGAAGAACTAAAATAGAAAAAGGGGACACTGAATATTAAAGTAGTGATAACAGGAATCAATTATTACTCCTAGGACAAGGGACAAGAGGGAAGAGAATTATTACAGTTTAGAAATTTGGAAGGGAGACTTCAAAGAGCTGGGACTCAGATCCAACAAAAAGATGTAGCTATCTTTAAGGGGTATAAGGAGACTAGTTCTAGGAGAGCAGAAAACTATAAAATGGAACACCTTGGACCAGATGTGGCTGCAGAGTCAGGTACGTAATATTGCTGCGGTAAAACATTCAGCAAGTCCCTTCATCGTCCTCTAGTCGTCCAGTCTAAAAGTCTGGTAGGCAGGCAGCTAGCAAAGCACAAATCTGATTTTGAATTCTCCCCTGTTTTACAAAGCAGAGTATATGGGGCAGTATGAAGTTAACAGACATCAGCTTAACAATCTGCAGTCCAGAGGAAGAAGGGGGGAGTTGCTGAGTCAAGGTCCCTTATTAGTTGAAACTGTTAAAGGATGTATGTGGCATTTGAGGTTCCTTTCCACACAGTGCCTGGCAGGAGCTATCAGACCTCACAGCAACCACTATGCAGTTAAACAGAAATACCATACTTCCTTTTTCATGATTCTTTGCCAGTGCTACTGGGATTCCAGTAATTAGAAGCTCCAAGTCTCTCTCCACTCCCACACAGTGCAGGTGGATACGAAGAGAAGTGGGAAAGAAGCAATGGGAGGAGACAGACGGTGGTGCAACAGTAATACATGACACTCTGTTGAGGTTGATCCATATGGGAAGGTTGCAGGTTCACCTCTGGAGACCTCCATGAGTGCCCATGATCCAGGGCTGACTGAAACTAGGAGTGGATTACAACATCAAGACCCTGTTAGAGGTGCTGTTTGTCACTTTCTCTCTGGCTCCTGGAAGAGACAAGCAAACTAGGAAAGACGGAAGGAAGGCAGGCAAGCAATAGCAAAGAAACCCAGAGCAGTACTGATGTAAGAACCATGACAGGAAATAATCAATAGGGGCTGTATCTTGGGAGGTTTTAAAAAAAAAATGACAAGGGCAAAATGAATAGTGAATTAACTACTCTACACTGAGTGAGATACTATGAGAAAGATGTTTTTATGAAATCCAAAGGGTGTCTAAGTTTTCATCATTTCTATTCAATAAACCTGCAACCTTAGCTAGGGTTTGCAAATAAAAATAGTAACAAGTTTATCTACTTGGGCCTCTCCATCTACCCTGTGGACAGAATGGTTGGGTTAGGCTCAAGATGAGTGTTTAGGCCCAAACAAAGATGGAAATGACAAGCACATACAGGCTTCATGGTCCCAGCAGTTTTCAGCCCAGACTCAATGTGGATTTTACTCATTTTCATGTTCTCATTACTAAAGACAGGTATCTAAGATATCTAATTAGTTGGCCTACTTAAAATGAAAATTTAAGCATGTAATGCAATTATCAACTAGTTACCTATTTTCCTTAGTGAAGGAAAATTATGTTTCTTTAGAGAATAACACTAATATTACTAGTCATTTGAAAATCCTATGTCAAGATTTTGTTTCTCACTTGGGCAATGCTTTCCTAATTCCAATTGCAAACTTTTTGAAAGAGATAATAGTAATGAAATCTGCTGAGTTAAAAATAACAAATGTGGCCCAGTGCTGTGGGCAGTAGTAGTACTAGGACCCTGCAGTGCTGAATACCATATGGCTACTGTTGTTTTAATCCTGAGTCAGCCTGAAAAACAGGCCTGACACTCAAGATCCCGAGGAGATGGAGAGCTGGGGAAAGGGGTTCCTAGTACAATGAGACACTGTTGAGGGTGCTCTCTCTCTCATGTGAACTTCCTATGACCAAAACACAAAAACAGGAAGAAAGAAAAGGGGGCCAGCTGGTGGTATGATGGTTGAAGCAGCTGGATCCCACATGGCCAACTGTGTAGGTGGATTCCCCAACCAGTAGCTTAAAAAACATGCCCGGTGCATATATGTGCATGCTCAAAATCCCAAAAGAAGAAATGGGGGGTGTTTCTCACTTTCCATTTCTCTCTTTCAGTTCTCTCTCCAGTAAGCGCACATTCCTTCCAGAAAATTTTTAAAAAGAAAGAAAAGGAAAGAAAAAGAATGATAAATTGTATAAGATTGGTCTTCATATTTCCCCAACAAACAAGGGATTTTTATGTTCTACTGCTGGTAGGATGGAGAGTGGTGTGCAAATGTTAAAACATAGGTTAGGGAGCTGGCAGGTGGCGTGGTGGTAAGAGCGCTGGATTCCCACATGGCTGCTCACGGTCAAGTCCTGGACCTGGTGGCTTGCTTTTTCACTTTCTCTCTCTCTGGTCAATTTTTAAAATAATAAATTAAATTTAAAATTCTTTTTTTTAAAAAGGGGGGTTAGTTGCTAAAGATGGCACATATTTCCAGAAACTGGTAAGGACCTATAGCCTTTCTCCAAAATAATCCCATGTATGTGATCAAAGGTATTGTTGAACTTATTTTATACAGCTTGCTTTACTGACAAAACATATTTTCTTCCCACCTTCTGCACGTGATGTGTTCTCTGAAATGCCCCCCTCTTTTCTGCTATACACAATCTACTCCATTTATTTTTCCATAATATTTCTCCAAAATCCAGCCATGGTTAATATGGCCTTGAACTGTTTGGTTCAATTGTAACCACTGCCTTCTCAAAGAATTCTGGAAACTTCAAACTAGGAAAAAACTGTTGTGGACTAGTAACATGGTTTCAACTAGGTGTATTTATAAAAGCTTATCTTAACATGATACAATAGCGTCTTTTCACGAGGAAACTAATCTCTGGGCTAGAAGAAATGCTCAGGGGTTATCTAATAGTCCGTTGCCTCTTCTCCTTGGGGTATTCATTTCTAAGGTCTCTTCCTGCTTTAAAAATCGTTTTTCCTATCAACTAGAATTACTTTTTAAAGTATGGAATACGTATAGGAAGTATTAAATTCTTAAACGGTAATATTCAGTTTGAAATTCTGCTGAACGATTTGACGCCAAGTGCTCAGCTCACGTCAGAAACACAAGAATCCACCTGGTTTACGTCCATGTCTGTGAGCTGTACCACGGGTGACTGACTCGCCCTGGTCACACAGTAGGCCCCACCCGAGACAGACGCTTGCAGGACAGGCACTTTATCCCAACACCAAGGCCCGGCCCTTCCTGGCTGCTTTGTCACCTAGAGACAACGCTGGGTAAAACACCCAATGCGGGACCAAATGTCCGCAGCGACGGGGACCGGACGCTGATGCGGGGCAGTGACGCAGGTGCGGTCCACCTTGTTTTCCTCTCCGAGCCCGTGGGAGCCCTGCACACCGACTCCCGCATGGCCTCGTGACGCAGTCTGGGACCCCTCCTACTCGGCGCGACCCCATACCCCGGCCGTCCTCTGCCCAGAGCTCTGGGACACTCACCATCCTAGTACTAGGCCGGTGGTCACAACGAAGCAGGTAAAGACTACCGCGATGTAGAAAAGCGGAGAGTATTCATAGAGCGTTACCAGAAACACCGCAGCCATCGGGGTCTCCTAGACTGAGCCCGGTGCCAGCACCTACCCTAGTGCAACCCAGGGGAGCCCAGCGGAGCCCAGCGGCGCCTAGCAATGCCCAGCCCGCCGGGCCAGGGCAAAAGCCACTACGGTGCCCCGGAGCGGACAAACTTAATAGGTCCGCACTCGCCTGAGGTTCTCAGGAGCCAGACGGTGGGGCAGCCTCGCGGACAGCTGCAGCCCGCGTGCCAATCACGGCGCCTCCTGCAGGGCTGGCCACGCCCCTCTAGGCCCAGTCGGGAAGTATTGGCTTCGCAGAGGGGCGGAGTCCCGGCTTGCTCCGGCCCCCACTCCGAGGATTGGCATCCTGAGAGCGTCTTGTCCGCCAGTCCCGCCCAGTGGTCATCGCTGCTGTGCCCGCGAGTTCTAAATAGAAATTGGGACCAACTGTGCCCAACACTTAGACAAATGCAGGTTTTCTGGTGCCAGAGACACGCGCGGTCTGAAAATCCTGACAGCTGTATATGAGCTTCTATGTAAAATTTGGAAGAAGGCGGAGTGCAGATATCTTGGGTTCTGCAGAATGAAATAACTCACACCTGCTCTTGTTTTCCCCACATTTACAAACAGGCGCAGTAAGAACACAAAGGGAACACTTATGACAAGCGATGTATACGAGCCTACACTGGACTAAAACGTAGAGGAAAATCACTGCGTATGCAAGATTTTCTTAAAAATAAAACAACCGTCCTCTTCCCACCACCCCTTCTTTCTCCTCTTCCTACACTCTTCAAATTAGAATGAACCAGAAATTTGAAGTTTTTGTATTTATTATCACCTTAATAATAATAAAACTGTTTTTTTTTTTTTTGGAGAGATTTTCACTGTAGGGCGCATGCGCTCGCCAGACAGACAGAGACAGACATAGAGATAGAAAGCGAGAAATCACCCCCCAGGGGGGATGGTCACGCCGCAATCCCTTCTCCTCCATTCTCCTCTCGGGATCTTGGGCACGCACGCACACGCGCCCGGCGTGAGTTTTAAGCCACCGGGTCGGGACACGGACCGCGGTCGACTACGTGGGAGTCCAGCGACATAGCCATTACGCTAACTGCTGGTTCCCAATAAAACTGTTTTTGAGCAGAATCTTTTAAGTACAGAAAATAGCTAAATGCTCCCTCCCTCTCAGCTCCTTTGAGTCAGCTCCAGCTTCTCTTTCTGGGAGTCTCATAATTCTTCACTGACATCTCATTGTTTTTTAGTTAGTCCTAAAGCAACACCTAGTTTACCTAAGAGACAAAGGTGAGAGCAGAGGGTTTGTAGTCTTACTCTGAATATCAACACTCCTCTCGTTACAAATCAGGGTTTTGTTACCAAAGAACGGAGACTACATGTTAGACTAGTAGTCTCTGCCACATTCCCAAATCACCAATAAAATTTGTGATTGAAAAAGATGAGCTAAGTTTGTCCTATGACCTCACACATCCCATGAGAAATGACTGTGTATTCTCTGGAGTAGCACTATTTGAGGAGCTGCTTATATCACATAAGTTTTAATTAGTATATATCTGACTTGTGAAAGTATATCATTTATTTAATCAGCCTCTAATTATCAGACAATTTTTCATTACTATAAATAACACTGCAATAAACATCCTTAAAGGTAAATCATTTCCTTAGGAGAAACTACCAGAGGTGAAACTTTGGTTCAAAAATTGGGAACCAGCAGTTAGCGTAATGGCTATGTCGCTGGACTCCCACATAGTCAACCGCGGTTCATGTCCTGGACCCGGTGGCTTAAAACTCACGCCAGGCGCATGTGCATATGTGCCCAAGATCTAGAGAGGAGAATGGAGGAGAAGAGATTGCAGCGTGACCATTTCCCCTGGGGGGTGATTTCTTACTCTCTGTCTCTCTGTCTTTCTTTGTCTGTCTGGCGAGCGCACGCGCCCTATAGCAAAAACCTCTCAAAAAAAAAATATATATATATGTGGATACATTTGTAAGACTTTGGAGAAACACTGCTCTCTAGAAATGCTGTAATAATTTGTTTTCCCACCCTTTCATTCAGTTTTGTCATGATTGTTACCTAAAAACCTTGGCCAATCTCAAAGGCTATTATATTGCAATAAAACAATAAAGAATTTTCATATGAAACAAGAATGTAAGAAGGTTGAAGTTAAAGTGAGAGTAAGCACATCTAGTTTGGCTTGCTCCCCAAGCTCTGCTCAAACTATAGTAAAGAGATTAAAAATGGAATCAACAGAAGCAGGGAGAACAAGAACTTAAAACAAACAAACAAACAAACAAAAAAACCAGCAACAACATATTGGAAGATGAAAAACAGACAGATAAGGATAATTTACCAACCAGTCCATCAAAACCAACTCCCAAACCGCACTATAGAAAAACTGAGATCCAACCTGATTTACACAGAAGTTTTAAAAAGAAAATCAACATGAACTGACCTCAAGCCTTGATCATTTTCTAAGGGGATAACTGCTACAGATTCAGAAACTTGTCTCTTCCTACATAGGTTCTTTCCAATGCCTTCTGCACGGTGCTGGGAAAAAAATTTTTTTGTAGCATATATTCTTTTTTTTTTCGGAGAGATTTTCACTGTAGGGAGCGTGCGCTCACCAGACAGACAGAGAGAGACATAGAGACAGAAAGCGAGAAATCACCCCCCAGGGGGGATGGTCACGCTGCAATCCCTTCTCCTCCATTCTCCTCTCGGGATCTTGGGCACACACGCACACACGCCCGGCGTGAGTTTTAAGCCACCGGGTCTGGGACACGAACCGCGGTCGACTGCGTGGAAGTCCAGCGACATAGCCATTACACTAACTGCTGGTTCCCCTGTAGCATATATTCTCGATTGTCATGTATTTCCTTGAAGACAAAGTTCCCAAGGCCCTTGTATGCCTACTCCTATGTGACTTGCCTCCCACTTGCCATTCATTTACTGTGTCCAGATTGTGTCCCAGACTCGAACCACATCATCTAGAAGATGCTGCTGACTGCAAGGCTGACGGGAAAGTTGTAGCATGAAGACTTTCTTGATGGTCTGTCTCTGAAAATAAATTTTTTTTTAAAAAAAGATAATGGAGGTAATAGACCCAGAAACTTTTTTTTTTTTTTTTTTTTTTTAGATTTTTGCCAGAGGGCACATGCACTCACTAGAGAAAGAGACAGAGAGAGGGAAAGTGAGAAATCATTCCCCATGAGGATGGCCACACTTCAATCCCTTCTCCATTCTCCTCCCAGGATTTTGGGCATGCATGCGCATATGCATGATTTTCAAGCAGCTGTGCCCAGGACTTGAACCACAGTCAGCCATGTGGGAGTCCAGTGCCTTAACCACCACACCAACTGTTGGCCCCAGACACAGAAATATTTTTTGAGTGTCAGATATGTGGCAGACACTATAGAAAGCATTGGGGATACAATAGTAAACAAAGGATGTATACTTGCTCTTATGGAACTTACCGTCTACTGGAAAAGATAAATGTTAATAAAAAATTCTTGAACAAAACATAAAGGCAAAATGATGGGAACCAGCAGTTAGCGTAATGGCTATGTTGCTGGACTCCCATGTAGTTGACTGCGGTTCACGTCCCGGACCCGGTGGCTTAGAACTCATGCCGGGCGCGTGTGCGTGCATACCCAAGATCCAGAGAGGAGAATGGAGGAGAAGGGATTGCGGTGTGGTCATCCTCCCTGGGGGGTGATTTCTCACTTTCTGTCTCTATGTCTCTCTCTGTCTGTCTGGCGAGTGCACGCGCCCTATAGAGGAAAAACAACAACAACAACAACAACAAAAACCATAAAGGCAAAATGATAAGTGCTATTAAAAAGAGGTCCATGAAGCTATGAGAGCATGTAATGAGTCAATGGGGGAGCATAAGGTAGATCGAGGAAAGCTTCCCTGAAGAACAGATTATTGAGATGAGACCTGATAAAATGATTGAGATGAGAGAGGGCCAGGTGGGGAGGAAGAGCATTTAGGGCAGAAGCTATAGCACCTGAAAAGGTCCTGATGTGGGAAAAATCACAATACCCATGAGAAACTGAAACCCAGGGTGGCTAAAGTATAGAGAGTGAGGAAGAAATGGCATGAGAGAAACAGAGAGAGGTCGGTAGGGCCCGGACCATACAGGAGTCTGATGCTAGAATTACATAAAGTAACCTGAAGGGCGATGAGAAACCACTAATGATTGCAGAGGAAGATGACAATCTATTTTCATAGTGAATCAATCACCATATAGAAAGTGATTAGAAAGAAGATGAAGATATGAGTGAATATAAAGTAACAACTAATAGATTAAAGTTGGTGGAAACTTAATTCATGACAAAACTATGCATGGATTTCACTTTTTTTTTGCACCAAAAGAAAAACTCATACTGTAATTACATTTCATCATGAGCAGTTTGAAATATCCTCTTACTAATCAGCCCTAATAAGGGTTCCAGCTATTTACCTCTTGCTGTAAAGCCCTCAGACACTGTGGCCTCTGGGCTCTGCTGGTTCACTGGGTTGCTCACCATGTACCATTTTACTTACGGGGGTGTGTAGGGGGGTGGGGGGTGGGGGATGTATGAATATGCAGATTCTCCTATATGTCACATGCAGGTTACTGAGAACCAGCAGTTCATTCACAATGCCAAATAAGGCCACCTTGGCTGCTGAATGTCACTGCTTCGGCACTAGGTTGAAGGGAGTGCAGAGGGAAAGATGCAATCTCTCCTCCTTTCAGCCAGGGAAGTATCTGTAACAGCCCTGATCTCCATCTTTTCAGGTTCTCCCCCGCCCCACCTGCTTGGATGCTTCCACTACAGCCCTGTCCTCTCCCAAAATTCCATCCTGAAGGGGGAAACCAGAATGGGTGGATCCAACTATTGCTTGTGCTGCAACCCCTTCTCTTTCCCATGGTCCTCCAGCTCAGAAGCACAAGTCTTTCCCTCCTTCCCAACAGTTTCCCTATCATATGGCATGCATTAAGTGCTGCTGTTACTGTTGCCAAGAGCTGGGTTTTGAAATGTTTGCATGGAGCTTTAAAATTTTATTGGGACCAGCAGTTGATGTAATGGCTATGTCTCTGGATTCCCATGTAGTTGACCGCAGTTTGAGTCCCGGACCTGATGGCTTAAACTCATGCTGGGCGCATGTGCGTGTGTGTGTGTGTGTGTGTGTGTGTGTGTGTGTGTGTGTGTTCCCAAGATACCCGAGAGGA